CATGGGGGGAGGGGGAGGCTCTGGGCTGTTGGGGGGCTGCTCGTCAAGGAAGCGGGTGCATAGAGGGGGGGGGGGGGTCTGCTGGTCTGAACCTGGGGGAGAGGCTGGTGGTCTGGCTGGGGAGGGGTCGCTGTGGCCCAGCTGTGCCCTCTCTCCGTGCAGGTGGCAGGGCACTACGCCGGGGCGGAGAAGAAACTGAACTGGCTGGGGAGGCCCATTCGCTGGGTGAAGGGGGCGCCCCCCCTCGACAACCCTCCCTGCGTCTTCGATGTGGATGACCCCTCCTGTGATAAAAGTGGGTGTGATGGGGAGCTGCTGGGCCTGTCTCCTGAGCCCCCGGCATCCCTGCCTCCCATTCGCCTGCCCTGGGGCGGTCGGGGGGCCCTGGATCCCCCTGTCCCAGCAGCGTCTGGACTGGAAGGCACCTGTCCCATATGCAGGAAAATGCCCAGCTAAGCCAGGAGCCTTGGGGCTGCAGGACGCCTGCTCCCCTGCCAGATCTGGGGCTGCCCGACCTCCTGAGACCCCGGCCCCAATCTCTGGGCATGGGGAGCTCTGCCAGGTCTCTGGCTGCTGCCCTCAGGGCTGGGGTTGGGGCCCGGCTGGGCCGGGCAGCACATGCTGGGTGCCCCAAGGGAAGGGATGATTTAGCTGGGAATTGGTCCTGCTTTGAGCAGGGGGTTGGACTAGATGACCTCTTGAGGTCCCTTCCAACTCTGATATTCTATGATTCTATGAAGGGCAGAGCATTCGACGGGGAGCTGGACAGGGCCTGGGGGCTGTTTGGGGAGCCCTGCCCCCGCTAACCAGCTCTCCGCTCGTCTCTCCAGCCCCACTCTCTACGCTGGCCATCGTGGCGCTGGGCACCGGCCTCACCCTCGTCATGTTTGGAATCTCCAGCTTCCTGATTTTCAGGTGAGACGGCCGTGCCCAGCCCTGGCACCCTGCTCCCAGGACACTGCCCACGGCTCCCGGGGCCCCGCCCACGGCACCCTGCTCCCGGGGCCCCGCCCACGGCTCCCGGGGCCCCGCCCTGGCACCCTGCTCCCGGGGCCCCGCCCACGGCTCCCTGTTCCCGGGGTCCCGCCCTGGCACCCTG